AAATTGAATATTTGCGCTGTTTTTGTCGTGCGTGTTGTTGAGTGATGTTTGTTTTGTCCCCCCCTACAGTCTCTGTGTGTTTTCTTTTTCTGTCGGAGGGAAAAAAAAAAAAAAAAAAAATTCTGGGGAGGAAAAAGAGTAAAAATGTGTGGAGTTGAGGTTTTGATGGTTGATTATTGGAAAAAAAAAAAAAAAGGTAATATCGTTGGTGGTGGACATGGGAAGGATAGTAGATTGGGAGGTGTCTACAAAAAAATGGTGGGGATAATGGTATCAAAAAAAAATTGGGTCTAGAGGTGGTGATGGTGTTAGTCAAAAATAGGATTGTTGATGATACTGTTGTCAGGGTTAAAGTGTGTTATCTATTTCCTTACTATTGTTGGTGTGTGCTACATTATCTTTATTATAGTTAACATTGTTATTATTATTACTGGTGCTGGGGTTGTCACGTAAAGGTTGTGTGTTTTTGGGCCAAGGTATGTGTGTTTTTTTTATGTATATATGTGCTCCTATTATTATTGTTGTTATTATAATTATTGTTTTTATTGGTGTATGGATTAGGTCTATTGTGATGAGTACTAATTTTTCGGGGGTGTGATTGGGAATAAGGTTATTAAAGGGCAGGGGGGTCTGGGTGTTGAAAAAAAAAAAAAAAATTGTTGGTTGGGAAAACAATTAAATCCATTAGTGCTAGGATGGTAGTATTTTTCCATAAAAAAAAAAAAAAACTCTGTTGTGGTTGTAAAAATCTAGATCCCTTTTTTAAATTTAAAAAAAAAAAAAATACTATGAGGTTTTCTTGGTGTTTAGTAATTTTTCTTAAAAAAAAAAAAAAACCACTGTTTGGGTAAAGTATAACCACTAACCAAAAATTCTTGCAACATTATCTGAATTTGATGCGTGAGTTGTTGGAATTTAGTTTCCCTCTGGGAAATAATAACCTCAATCCATTTGGAGGTGCAGAATTCAAAAAAAATTTAAAAATTTTTGTGATTCTCAGAGTCTAAAAAAAAGGACAATTTAAAAAAAAAAAAAATAAAAAAAGCCTCGAGGGGTAATTTTGTATGTCAAATATTGCGTTAGAAAGTATTTGTCCCACCAAAAAAAAAATAGAGATAAGTCTCTCTAATTTTTTGAAATTATCACCAAAGAGCAGGCGTGTGTCCCTGGGAAGTGCAGGTAAAAAAAAAAACAAAAAAAAAAAAAATGGTAGAAAAATCTTCTAAAATGTCAAATATAATGACTTCTATATTATGGAGCAACTCCATGGTAAAAAAAAAAAAAAAAAAAAAAAAACAATGATTGATATGACTGCAAAAGCTTGAGATAAAAAAATAAAAAATATATATAATATGAAAAATATATATGTAAGAAAAAAAAAATAAAATACAATATGATTAAATAATAGATAAAAAATAGTAATAATGAATACGGTGACGATGATAATAAAAATAATACGGTGATGGTAAAAAAGGGGGATAATCAGGGGGCGTGCTAAAGGCAAAAGATGTAAAAATGATATTGAATGGAAATAAATCTAGTATGAGTTAATATAAATGACAAATTAAATGGATGAGAATAGAACTTTCCAGGAAATGGAAGCGTAAATGCTGCTGATATGCTACATGTACACATGTGAGAAAAGAGGAAATGATAATCAGCGCAAATACTGGACCAAGTCCGAAAAGTCTAATAGTTTGATAAAAATAGTCCGGGTGACTTGGATAAGGGGGGTCCGTATGGCACTAAGGGCGAGCTCCATGCAGTACTGTAGCAGACTCTGTAGTAAGGAGAGAAGAAGAAGCGCCTCTAAGTGCAGCAGACCACTTTAATTCAGCATAAAAGTAGGAACACTCACATGATAGTACAGTAATACAGGCATGTTAGGTATATAGTGTAGAAACACAGTGTAGAACAGCTGTCACTGGTGCCTAGTACGTCCGGGTCTCACTGGTAGGGAGTGTGGTAGCAGGAGGGAGACAGATGTGGAGCCGGCCGCATGCACGTACTCCTCAAGATGGCGGCTGGAACACACACTGAACCGCAACGTTGGCATGATGTCGTCAGTTACCAGAATGCAATGCGACGTGTTTCGGAGCATGCTCTGGCCTCTAGTGGCGGAAGCGTGCTCCTTTATCAAGCAGGGGAATGACATGGAAGAAAACCGTTCTTTATATACTGGCTAATGTGACTTAATTGGCAATCAATAATTGGCAATATACAATTAACATAATTGGAATACATGTGGGCTAGTGATAAAAAACATGTGGGTCTTAAAATTAAAACCATTAGTGGGGGAAAAAACCAGTAGTAGGGGAATAAAACGACAATAATGACCATGATGACAAAGAATGGGGGAAGAATTAAAATGATATAAAAAAAGATATAAAAAAAAAGGACAAAAAGAATAAGAAAAAATGAAAAGATGAGAAAAATGAAAAAATTATGAAAAATAAAAATGAAAATAAAAATTAAAAGTGCAAACATGTATGTGTGGTCAAAAGAGATTAAAACACCGTATAAAAAGGTATAAAAAATGAGATTAAGAATAAAAAATATAAAAATAAAAAATAAATGTTTTTTATCACTAGCCCACATGTATTCCAATTATGTTAATTGTATATTGCCAATTATTGATTGACAATTAAGTCACATTAGCCAGTATATAAAGAACGGTCTTCTGCCATGTCATTCCCCTGCTTGATAAAGGAGCGCGCTTCCGCCACTAGAGGCCCAGCGCATGCTCCAAAACGTGTCACATTGCGTTCTGATGACATCTCGCCTATGCTGATGTTGCAGTTCAGCGTGCGTTCCAGCCGCTATCTTGAGGAGTATGTGCATGCCGGCCAGCTCCACATCTGTCTCCCTCCTACCAGTGAGACGCGAATGTACTAGGCACCAGTGACAGCCGTTCTACACTGTGTTTCTACACCATATACCTAACATGCCTGTATTACTCTACTATCATATGAGTGATTCTACTTTTATGCTGAATTAAAGTGGTCTGCTGCACTTAGAGGCGCTTCTTATTCTCTCCTTATCTAAAGCACCTGCAACACAGGACGTGGCATGAAATATCACGTAGTAGGCATGACCGTACCTATCCTATGGAGGAGGAGAGGTCAAATCTGGAAATGTCAGAGATGTATTCCTGTCAGGAATGGACTGGCCAGCAATGGTGGGACTCGCCTGCCTTATGGGCTGCAGTACCAGGGCTGGCCAGCGGGTGCTCCCAGCAATCAGAGACTCAACCTTGCAGCCAGCTAAACACCTGAAACTGCTTATACTGGTGTATTTAAGGGATGGCCAGACCTGCAGACTCTGCCTTGGTGTGTGTTTTTCCTGGGCCCTGTATCCTGTTCCTGCATCCTGTTCCTGTTCCTGTCTTGTTGCTGACCCTGCCTGATCTGACCTCTGCTGACTTCTCCTGCTCTGACCCCGGCTCGTTCCTGACCATCCCTCTGCCTGACCCTCTGTACCACGCTAACCGCTACCTGCTGAACCTGGCTTGTGACCCCGACCATTCTCCGCTTGCTCCCCCTGTACCTACCTGCCCGATTGATATTGACCCGGCCTGCCTGACGACACTTGCATTGTATGTACTGTTATCTGTGGGTGGTTTGGTTTGGTTTGTTTGCACTGTGTTATGTTTTAGTATTGCACTGCGTTTATGTTTGTATTGTTAGTGTTAATAAATTATATTGTTTATAACATATCTGAAGTCTGCGTTTCCCTGCGTCAGTCACACACCTCTGGTCATACCCGGGAGCCCTGACATTACACCAAGGCCAATCCTGACCAGAAGTGGCTGCACAGGGAAGCCATCTTGGTTTGTTGATGGGAAGGATGGATCTTGATGAGGTTGTGTATTTATATCTGCTAGTGTTTGATGACAGAGAGTATGCTTATCAAACTCTGAAGGAGTAGCCCCGGGATGAACTGCTAGAATGTATACGGCTCGCTCATGTTCTAGTAGATCAGGGCACAGAATTCTCTGAGGTGCAGCCATTGATTCAGATTTGTGCGGAGTTGGTTTCATCTGGTACCCCCGAATGCAGGGATGAATTTTTGCCGCCATTTAGTGCTGACCAGGTAGAGTCCCTGGTATGGTTATTAGAGGATGATGTGGATTGCTTCTTGGAGCATTATTCTGCATGTTCACCACAGGTACTAAGAGATTGTATAAACGCAGTGCAGTCTTTGGTCAGACAGGCTTTGTGTAAGCTCAGCTTTGTTCAACCCATACTGCAGACATGGACAGATTTGTTGCACCCAGCCTCAGTCAGCTTACAAAAACCCAGTCCTGCTTCTAATCTATTTCCTCAAAGCTCTATTCCTGCATTCCCAACAGCTCCTCCTGCCCTGCTATCTACCGCATGTCAGTACCCTGTTCCCACTCGCTGCACCTATCCTGCCTTTAACCCTGTAAAAAAGCCCTCTGTAGCAACTGCTCCCTCCCCTGTTCCATCCTCCAGCTCTTCTCTGTCTCCAGCTGCTCCATTCGTTTGCAGACCTGCGTTTACTTGCAGTGCTCCAGTAGTTAAAACCAGAAAAAAGCGGAAATTCTTTCCAACCAATACCATCCTGCCAGTATCCAAACCGGTGAGCCTGCCGTCTGAGAACCTGCCTTCCGTGGTTCAGCCTGGTGCCTGGCACCCGCACTTCAACCTGATGTCTGTACCCAGCCTGATGCCTGTACCCAGCCTGACCCAGCCTGATGCCTGTACCCAGCCTGATGCCTGTACCCAGCCTGATGCCTCTATTCAGCCTGATGCCTCTATTCAGCCTGATGCCTCTACTCAGCCTGATGCCTCTACTCAGCCTGATGCCTCTACTCAGCCTGATGCCTCTCTTCAGCCTGATGCCTCTCTTCAGCCTGATGCCTCTACTCAGCCTGATGCCTCTACTCAGCCTGATGCCTCCACTCAGCCTGACGCCTCCACTCAGCCTGATGCCTCTACCCAGCATGATGAACTGATCCAGCCTGATGATCCTATTAGGCCAGTTGACTCGATGCCCGCTGTTGATCCAGATGATCCGGTACCTGATCCGGTGCCCGCTGTCGTGCCAATTGACTCAGAGCCCGCTGTCGTACCTGGTGACTCGGTGCCCACTGCCTTGCCAGATGACGCGGTGCCCGCTGGCGAGCCAAATGACCTGATGCCTGGTGACCCAGTGCCCGCTGTCATACCTGGTGACCCGATGCCCGCTGTCGAGCCAGACGATCCAATGCCTGGTGACCCGGTGCCCACTGCCTTGCCAGATGACGCGGTGCCCGCTGGCAAGCCAAATGACCTGATGCCTGGTGACCCAGTGCCCGCTGTCATACCTGGTGACCCGATGCCCGCTGTCGAGCCAGACAATCCGGTACCTGATGACCCGGTGCCCGCTGTCGTGCCAATTGAGTCAGAGCCCACTGTCGTGCCTGGTGACTTGGTGCCCACTGTCTTGCCAGATGACGCGGTGCCCGCTGTTGAGCCAAATGACCTGATGCCTGGTGACCCGATGCCCGCTGTCCACCCAGACGATCCAATGTCTGACCCAGTGCCCACGGTCATACCAGTTGACTCGGAGCCCACTGCCTTGCCAGATGACGCGGTGCCCGCTGTCGAGCCAAATGACCTGATGCCTGGTGACCCGATGCCCGCTGTCCAGCCAGACGATCCAATGTCTGACCCAGTGCCCGCGGTCATGCCAGTTGACTCGGAGCCCACTGTCGTGCCTTGCCAGATGACGCGGTGCCCGCTGTCGAGCCAAGTGACCTGATGCCTGGTGACCCGATGCCCGCTGTCCAGCCAGACGATCCATTGTCTGACCCAGTGCCAGCGGTCATGCCAGTTGACTCGGAGCCCACTGTCGTGCCTGGTGACCCGGTGCCTGTCGCTCCGCCTGGGGGTCCGGCACCCGCCGCTCCGCCTGGGGGCCCGAGACCTGTCGCTCCGCCTGGGGTCCGAGACCTGTCGCTCCGCCTGGGGGGGCCGGCGCCCGCCGCTCCGCCTGGGGGCCCGAGACCTGTCGCTCCGCCTGGGGGTCCGGCGCCCGCCGCTCCGCCTGGGGGCCCGAGACCTGTCCGCTCCGCCTGGGGGCGCGCCGCCGTTCCGCCTGGGGGCCCGAGACCTGTCGCTCCGCCTGGGGGCCCGAGACCTGTCGCTCCGCCTGGGGGCCCGCCTGTCGCTCCGCCTGGGGGCCCGATGCCTGTCGCCCCGCCTGGGGGCCCGATGCCTGGCGCTCCGCCTGGGGGTCCGCCCCCTGGGGGCCCGATGCCTGTCGCCCCTCTGGGGGCCCGATGCCTGTCGCCCCGTCTGGGGGCCCGATGCCTGTCGCCCCTCCTGGGGGCCCGATGCCCGCCGCCCGCCTGGGGGCCGCCCGCCGCTCCGCCCTGGGGGCCCGATGCCTGTCGCCTCCGCCTGGGGGCCCGATGCCTGTCGCCCCGTCTGGGGGCCCGATGCCTGTCGCCCTGGGGGCCCGGTGCCGTCGCTGGGGGCCCGGTGCCTGCTGCTCCGCTCCGCCTGGGGGCCCGGTGCCTGCTGCTCCGCCTGGGGGCCCGGTGCCTGCTGCTCCGCCTGGGGGCCCGGGGCCTGCTGCTCCGCCTGGTGGCCCGCTGCCTGCTGCTTCGCCTGGTGATCCGATGTGTCTCTGCCCGGAGTCCAGCCCGATGTGCCTCTGCCCGGAGTCCAGCCCGATGTGCCTCTGCCCGGAGTCCAGCCCGATGTGCCTCCGCCCGGAGTCCAGCCCGATGTGCCTCCGCCCGGAGTCCAGCCCGATGTGCCTCCGCCCGGAGTCCAGCCCGATGTGCCTCCGCCCGGAGTCCTGCCCGATGTGCCGCCCGGAGGGCCCCGGAGTCCGCCCCTGCCCGATGTGCCCCGCCCGGAGTCCTGCCCGATGTGCCTCTGCCCGGAGTCCAGCCCGATGTGCCTCCGCCCGGAGTCCAGCCCGATGTGCCTCGCCCGGAGTCCAGCCCGATGTGCCTCTGCCCGGAGTCCAGCCCGATGTGCCTCTGCCCGGAGTCCAGCCCGATGTGCCTCTGCCCGGAGTCCAGCCCGATGTGCCTCTGCCCGGAGTCCAGCCCGATGTGCCTCTGCCCGGAGTCCTGCCCGATGTGCCGCTGCCCGGAGTCCAGCCCGATGTGCCGCTGCCAGGTGTGCCGCTGCCCGTGTGTGCCGCTGCCCCGCTGGAGTTCTGCCCGATGTGCCTCTGCCGGTGTGCCGCTGCCCGATGTGCCGCTGCCCGGAGTCCTGCCCGGTGTGCCGCTGCCCGGAGTCCTGCCCGGTGTGCCAGTCTTTGATATCCCGCCAGTTACCAGACCCGGGCGGTGGAACATTTTGCCCAGCTAGGACTGTTTGGAGCGTCCTGAGGCCGCTCCTTGAGGGGGGGGTACTGTCAGGAATGGACTGGCCAGCAATGGTGGGACTCGCCTGCCTTATGGGCTGCAGTACCAGGGCTGGCCAGCGGGTGCTCCCAGCAATCAGAGACTCAACCTTGCAGCCAGCTAAACACCTGAAACTGCTTATACTGGTGTATTTAAGGATGGATGGCCAGACCTGCAGACTCTGCCTTGGTGTGTGTTTTTCCTGGGCCCTGTATCCTGTTCCTGCATCCTGTTCCTGTTCCTGTCTTGTTGCTGACCCTGCCTGATCTGACCTCTGCTGACTTCTCCTGCTCTGACCCCGGCTCGTTCCTGACCATCCCTCTGCCTGACCCTCTGTACCACGCTGCCCGCTACCTGCTGAACCTGGCTTGTGACCCCGACCATTCTCCGCTTGCTCCCCCTGTACCTACCTGCCCGATTGATATTGACCCGGCCTGCCTGACGACGCTTGCATTGTATGTACTGTTATCTGTGGGTGGTTTGGTTTGGTTTGTTTGCACTGTGTTACGTTTTAGTATTGCACTGCGTTTATGTTTGTATTGTTAGTGTCAATAAATGATATTGTTTATAACATATCTGAAGTCTGCGTTTCCCTGCGTCAGTCACACACCTCTGGTCATACCCGGGAGCCCTGACAGTTCCCAACATCACATCGGGCATAAATATTGTAAACTGTAGAATACACATCTTAAATTACATTCTTACATAATAAGGATAGAAAAACACATGTAAGGCACTAAGCGTCAAGCCACATAAAAAAGAGAACATGAGCAAACACAGATAGGACAGTACCAAGAGAATGCCCTAAAGGACCCATTGAGTCCAAAGGGAAGACATGGAACCTCAATTGGTACTTCCAGAAATCTGTAGAATAGGGTTTGGGAACCATAGTGCTAGAGACATAGCATGATGTCTAGGGATCCCTGTGAGGGAAAAAAGAGGTTGGCCTTTCATAGTCAGGATGGGTCAGTGGGGGAGGGCCCCCACGGAGCCACCCCTATGGAATAAAAATGGGTTTAACTGCTACGGAACAAAGGGCCTCAGGGCGCAATAGCAACAAAGAGTTAAATATAACATCGATGGATGTCTCCAGTAAGGCCCTCCTGGTGACACCCTCCATAGGCATTCAACTATAGGTGATGTTCATAGACTAGATGGTAAAGCTCAGTAAAGGGTGGGGGGCCAAGAAGAAGACAACACACTAAGAATTGTGGAAGGTGTCAGAAAGGTTATGGGCCAGGTGGGGACAAAACAACAGCATAGATGCCTCTCACTACCCTGGCCAAAAAAGGATCCATTACCTAGTTTCATTGCAGAATCCCAAATTATCAATAAGGACCTTGAAAATTACATCTTAACTAAGACTGGGGCCTCTTTCTTCCGAAAAGAATTCTACAAAGTCCCTTATTTCTACCATTTGCCCAAGGTCCATAAGGATCCAAAAAAACCCTGGGTCGTCCATTGTGGTCGCAATAGCAAGTATCACTACCAGCTATTCTTTATACATTGACCATTTTCACCAGCCCTTAGCACAAGCACTCCCCTCATACATTCGGGATGGTACTCATCTTCTGGAAATTCTTAAACCCTATACTTGGGAGCCCACATATATACGGGCCTCATTAGATGTCTGTTCTCTGCATACATCCATTCCTCACGAAATAGGCTTACGAGAGCCGTATCACATTTTCTAATGGAAGACCCATATCTCAATACAAAACAAATCAACTTTCTACTTACAGCTACAAAATTTTGCCTAGAACACAATTACTTTGTCTTTGATGGCGATTTTTACCTACAGATACAGGGCACAGCCATGGGAGCCAATTTTGCTCCTAGCTATGCGAATCTGACTATGGGCCTGTGGGAAACCAACACATCTGGAAAAAACAACCCGTTTAGTCCTGGTGTTTTACGGTCGATATATCAATGATATCATTATCATCTGGGACGGTCCCCAATCTCGCATACTAGAATTCATTGATTTTTGTAATTCTAACACCTTTGGCCTCACCTTCACCCAAGTAGCTGATCCCACCACCCTATGTTTTTTGGGTTTAGAACTCACACACACATCAACTCCACCATCATTGCTAAAAATTATTATAAACCTACTACTAGTAATTCATTCCTCCACTTTTCCAGTTGTCATCATCCTAGATGGATCTGTAACATTCCCAAAAGTCAATTTCACCACCTCAAACAAAATTGAACCAGGTTAGCAGATTACCAGACACAAAGCATGGCCCTCAAAAATAAATTCAACGAAAAAGAATATTCATCCAAGCTCATCGAGGAAGCCTATTCCATTTATCTGACAGACTCACTACCTTATCCAAAAAACAACCCAGAACCCACCATTAGGTTTGTCACACAATACCACTCTAGTTACAAGAAAATGGAAACCATTTTTAAAAAACATTGGTCCATTCTAAACCAAGACCCACATCTAGCACTGTCCATCCCAACCATGCCAAAATTCACCTACAGAAAGGCACCAAGTGTAAAAAATAAGATTGCACCCAGCAAAATTCCTACGACAACCAATAAATACCACCTGCAGACAGTTTACTCTCATCCCAATCACAGGGGATGTTCCGCTGCAACAAAACTCTATGTCTCACCTGTGCCTGTGTTTCCCACAGTAAAAAAACATTTTGCACTAATGGAAAAAACTTATCCTATCACAGCATTCTACAACTGCTCTTCCACATATGTGGTATACTGCCTCTCCTGCCCTTGCAGCCTGCTCTATGAAGGTCGCAAGATTAGAACTCTTAGAAAAAGGTTTGGAGAACACCGTTGCTTAGTACAGGATGGCAATCCTAAACATAGTGTCCCACAACACTTCTCTGAATTTCACCAAAAATCCATTCATGATCTCCAAGTATGGATTATTGATTCTATACCAGATACATATACTGCAGCTGAATGTTTCCAACGGTTATGCAAACAGGAAACATTTTGGATATGCACCCTCAACACATTAGCCCCTGGAGGATTAAACGAAGAAATAGAGGTCCACACTGTTCATTAAATTATATGAGACATTAGTTTTATACCTATATGTGCACATTTATGTGCCAATTGCCCAAAAGCCATGCTCGTGTC